GCAAGAAAACTTTTTCAAGCTGGTGACAAAAAATCCAGCCAAAACTGACAAATTCGGGGCGGCTCCAAAACAGAAGGATATGGAAAGAGAAAGTGTTTCCAGCTGGTGAGGAATTTTTATTGTTTTAAAAAAGAGACTGCCTATAAAAACTCAAAAACCAATTTAAATTAAAGAATAGAAGAAAGAATTGAATTTGGAATGGTTTTGCTAGTGGAATTTCTTTCTTTAAGTCCATAGATTCTTTAATTTTATCTTCTTCTACATCTCATCAGTGAAAATAACATTTAAAAAATAAGATAACCACTGTCCAAAAACATTCAAAATTCAATTCCGCCACTTGATTCTTCTATTCTTCAATTTAAATTGATTTTTAAGTTTTTATAGGCAGTCTCTTTTTTAAAACAATAAAAATTCCTCACCAGCTGGAAACACTTTCTCTTTCCATATCCTTCCGTTTTGGAGCTGCCCCAACTTTGTCAGCCTTGGCTGGATTTTTTGTCGCTGGCTTGAAAAACTTCTCTTGCTTTCTTCAGGGATTTTGCAGTATCCCCGAGATCAGCAAGATGTATTCTTCCTCTTCACCATCTCTTCGGGACAGTTTAGGTCCGTTTGGACCACCCAGTGGCAAAAGTGTTGGCTGTGGTCTCAGAGCATTGAGACTGCACAACCATATCATCGCAACATTGGCTCCTCCTAAGTCAGTGCAGTTGCTTCAAATGATGTGTAACATGACTACAATATAGACAAGTGTCCCATCCAACAACTTGATGGAAATGGAAACTCTGCATTCAGCATAATAATCCAAATGCAAGGGTACTGATGTGTAAACATTAGCCTAGGCTGCCTCTGCCCAAGTTGCTATAACAACAGTTACTACCCTAACCAAAGCTGATGACAGGCAATCTCTGACTGCACAGGCCACCTAGGCTTCCAATGATAATGACTTCAAACACATGCACCAAACTACTTATCACTTTCTGAAGAAGTGCAACCCCATTTAGAATTCATAAATTCACCCACATGAGCTCTCCATGTTGTCAAGATTCAAACTGTTTACTTCACATCCCACTCCATCACTTATTCTGTTTCAGAACACATATAGTCTCTCCTGTCTAAGGAAGAAAGGAAGGGAACTGAGTATCATTGGCATATTGATTACACTTAGCCCCTGAACTCTTGAGAACCATCTCTAGCAGCTTCATTATAGATGTTAAATAATAGTGGGGACAAACCAATGATATGCAACACATTATGGATTGTTGCCAGAATGCAGACAGTTGCCAAATAACTGCTTTCTGAGATAGTAGTAGTAGTAGATATTTTTAGTGCAGTCTGTGTAATTTACAGAGAACAGCATAACAGATGGGATGGTTATTAAGAGACCAAGCAAGATCAATAACATAACACTCCCTCTGACTCTACCTTGAAGGAAGTACACTACTTGGCTTGGCTGATTCTACCTCAAACCATGTCTGAACCTATATCAAGGCTCCTCAAGAACATCTATAGCTGCACAAATACAGTACTGCGTTTTCAAATAGTGTAATTTTTTCAAAAAAATGAAAAGGAGGGTGGGAATTTATTCTCAGGATAGCAAAAACAAAACAAAAAACCTCTGGTCCCAGAGGGCATATAAAGGAATGGGCAGATCAATGCTGCCTTCATCAGTCCATCATGCATACATCTTTTCATCTATTAAGTCAAAATGATCAGAAGTCAACACAGCATATGGTAGACCAGGCATATCCTTAGATTTCAAAACCTGAAAATCTCACATTTCAATCTTATAAACAAAAAGTACTGGACACTTTGTAGTTTGTATGCAATGTACTGAAACCAACATTACAATCAATATCAATGCGAGTGATTTAGCCTTAAAGCATTTCACAAATTTGTCCCATGCCAAGGTCCCTGAACTGGATTCATTATTATAATTGCCTTCCTTCCTTTTCTGCATTAACACAAAAAACTCTGGCAGGTCTGGAAGCTTCTCTGACCTTCTGAGATGTCTTTCAAGAGAAGTGCTAAAAAACTCTTACATGAACCAATATCTACGTCCATTGTTTAAATGTAATTACCTGCTTGATCTTGATGCTGCAAACAAGAAAAGACTAATTCAAACTGATCCTTTGGGTTTCTGATCTTTGTTTCTATTAGCAAAATGTCCATAGTTTTCAATGCTACAATTCTGTAAAGTTACAGGAGAATTTTATTTCAGTTATACTGCCAAATATGTATAAAGTAAATCACTCTAACAAAACAAACGTTGGTGTTCCTAAAAAAAGCCAGTGTGCTTTGTTTTTGTTTCTTCTTTAAAAACAAACAAAAAAGAGTGTCAAGGTTTTGTCCTAAGATATACAAAGCAAACAATGAAGCCTACTTAGCTTTTAAAATTAACCTAGATATTGTAGGGAGTCTAGTTTTCAACTTCTAAGCATGAAACTTAGATACAACTAAGTTTAGTGAAGAGGATGAGGCATCAGGGTAGAAACCAGGAGTTCTAGTCCTGCCTTAGGCACAAAGCCAGCTGGGGCTAGTCACTCTCTCTTAGTCCTAGGAAGGAAGCAAGGACAAATTATTTCCAGAAAACCTTGCCAAAAAAACTATAGGGACTAGTCCAAGCATCACCAGAAGTCGACTCTGACTCAAAAGCCTGCACAAACACAAACACCTGTGCACACACAAACAAACAAAAAGCAGAAACTGCTATTTCATGGCATTACTTATGACTGAGCAACCTTTTCCTAATCTCAGCCTGTTTGAAATAAACAGATGACAGCTTAGACACAGAACACTCCCAGTACTTGCATAGACTTTCAGGTTATTTATAACAGACTGTTTTATCATTTTTGAAGACTGGAGAACCTGGAGAAGATAAAATTACGAATTTCTTGGGCAGAGATGGATTTAGCTTTGAATATTTGCCTAGAGTTTAGTCTAGAAGTAAATTCTATTGCAAATTGTAATTCCATTTGATGATCTATGTATGGACTAACTCAATTCCTGCAAAATATCTAACCACAGACTACTTTTTAAAGAGTAATCTTGATGGATTGCACCGTCTGCTCTTATATCACTTCCACAGCACCTCAGTGTACCTAACTGATAAGAATAACATCAGAAAGATCACAAATAGGGAGATGTGGGATCTCGGTATATTTTCGCACCTGGAAAAAAAAAGACTGTCGGACCCCTAGTTGCTTGTTCAGATGGGAGGGAAACCTGCTGCTTTCTATGTAACCGACGCACAACGAGAACGGCACCCAAATATTCATTCTTTGCACATTGGCGAGTTTAGGATGGGAGCGAGACAAGGGCAGATCCCCGGTAACGGGCGAGCAAAGTCCTCCGCCGTCACCATCGCTCTCCTTAACTCCTTTGGTCCCGCAAAGGCTTTTCTGCCTCGCCCAAATCGCGCGCCTACTGCACTGCAGGAACAAGGGACAAACGGACTCTGGCGGGCGGCAAAGCCATCCCTTAAACCTCCCCAGGCGGGAAATAGCCGTAACGGGCTCTCCGAGAGGGAGAAGCCAAAAGAGGAAGAGGTTGCCGCGATCCCGGTCCCGTCATAAAGCAGCGTCGTCGGGGGGCTGGGAAAGACGGGAACTCGCGCGCAGCATCTCCTGCACGGGAAAACCTCCGGGTAGCGGAAGATTGCGGCGATCCGGCACTAGCGCAATCTGGGTAAACGTAGCCGGGAAGTCTCCTTTGTTGAGAAAAGCGGGGCTGGCGGAGGATAAGCAAGCCCGAGAGGCGGGCAAGAGATGGAGGGGCGCAATTAATCGACCCAGCACTCGGCAGCCTCTCTCGCAATTTAAGGCGGGAAAGGTTCCAAAGGTGCCTCTGGATCCCGCCGTTGCCGCCTTTGTCTTGTGCCGGCAAAGGCTTCGCCTCCAGTAGGCTCAAGGTGACAACCCACCCACCCCTTCGGCCCATCGGGGTTCTCACCTGGCACCTGCAGACGATGTCCGCGTCCTGCGCGAGAAGATCCACCACTTTCCCCTTCCCTTCGTCGCCCCATTGTGCTCCCAGGACTACAGTGACTAGGTTGCCGGGATGCCGAGCGACGCTCCCTCCATTTGGGATGGTGGCGGCGGCGGCGGACGCGGAGCCGCTTTCAGACATGGCTCCCGCAGACGACTGTTCCCTCCTCGTTTGCAAGACACATGCGAGGAGGAAAGGAGGAAACGGCTCGGCCGGTGAAGGCGCCTTCTTCCCCGCCCTATTCACGCAGAGCTAACTCCATTGCCGCATCTCATCTCTGCGCTGCCCGCCGCCTATTGGTCATTCTTCGATAGACCTCTTGTACGCGGGATCAAGAGACCCGCCTCCTCATCTGCATAACGTGAAAAGGATGCCGCTTCATGCCCATATATAGAAGAAGGGACTACGCTGCCCAGAGTGCTCCTGGGCTAACGTCGCCGCGGGTCATCCTGGGAAGCGTAGTTGCTGTTCGTAGCGCCCGAGCGTGGAAAGGAGCGAGCTGGATGGGTCTACTGGGAAGCGGTTGCACCATTTTAGGAAAACTGCTCTAGGGTAGCAAAAAAGCTGGAGTAGTTTGGTAGCATCTTTCCAAATTCGTTATTCATTTCATCAGATGCATCACTCGACTGATGAGGGATTCTGTTGGGAAGGGAGGACAGGGTTGCTTGTGTAGGATAAAGGTTGGGTGTCAGAAAAATTACAAATGCCTTATCGGTTAACGAGTATGTTGTGAGTTCTATTCAAGACTTATTTTTTCTTTTTGAATTCCGTAATAGAGTGCCATAGGAAGTTGAAATGTAATTACTCTGTTCTTGTTCTGAGTCCTGATGCCAGATTTCATGAATTCTTTTGTACAAAATTTATCCTAGAGAGAATCTCAAGGGGCACTGCTGGTACATACTAGTGCGTATCTCATTGGAGAAAAAGCATATGGCTGCATTCTACTGCAATCTCAAATGGACCCTTTGGGGTGGGGGTGGGGAATAAGACTTTAAGAGCACCATAATTTGTTAATAACAATATGGGGGTATTAATAGCTCTCTTTTCGAGCTAACTTGTTGCTGCTTAGCCTGTAGTTGAGCAAGATAGGAGCTAAGAAGCGCTTAATTGATGACTATCCAATAAGGGCCTCTTGGTGTACTCTACAGCTTTGAACCTACATGAAGAACATAGCACTTGGACTTATATACCACTTCACAGTGCTTTACAGCACACTCTGAGTGCTTTGCAGAGCTAAACCATAAAAGACACAGTTTACTAATAGCATTAGCTTGATTCACATGACATGTAAAGCCACATTTTGGCTTAATAAACTTAATAAAAAGTAATACTTATCAGCTACCTTTTACAGTCATATGATCACTCTCCCTTTTTGGTGAATTCCACATATTTTTACTACTTAAAGCAAAGGTGCCAATGTATTTTGGTTTTCAGATCTTGTTGAACGTGATTTCTTATCAGACATATTATCAGTGAGATAGAATGGGACTTGAAATTAAACAGTATGGAGAGTTATATATTGCCTGGGATCCTGAAAGTGTAAGAGGCTCCATTACCTGGTTGCAGTATTAATTTTTTTGCTCTCTATAAAATTTGTAACTTTTTACGGTTTTAATTGCGATATTGTTGCTCAGTCTATTGGATTGACATGGATGGCTATAGAAATTGACTAAATACAGTACTGTAATGTAGTAGCTGTTCACACTTCTGAAACTAGATAATCCTGGTAATAGATTTGTCTGTAGTAGAAAGTGCAGCTTTTAATTTGCAAATACTATTTGAAGTGATGTGCAATTACTGAGCTTATTGCACAATGTGTATGCAAATTTGAAAAAGAAAATCCAATCATGTTTCAGAAAGAAAGAAATCTACTGGTACAATATTGTATGATGTCTTTCTGATTGTTTAATCTATGGTTATTACAATATTGAAAGCCTGTGTGGGTGTGGGCTGCATGATAAACTCATGGACATTGACATCTTAACATGGAACTGACTTTTGGGGGGGGGCAAGTTTGGTGGGGCAGAAGAGGACAACTTGGTACTTTATGAGGACAAAGTATAAAAACTCTTCACCCACCATTTTGCATTTTTCCTTTACAAATGATTTTTCCATGTTTGACTATTTCAATACATAGGTTTGGGGATGTAATTGCTTAAAATTGCATGTAGTACATTGTTTTAGACTAGAGTCTAACATTTAGACATGTTGGAAGAAAAATCCAGTCCGTTTCCAAGCGGGAGAAAGATGCTGGAAATAAAATGGAGGCTGGGTGCAGGAAAGAAAGTCTCTGTTTATTTTGATGTCAGAAATTTCAGTGACAGCAGCATGTTTCTTGGATGGCTGACAAACATTCTTTGGAGCTTTTTGATTTGAGATGTGTGTTCCTGTTTAAGAATGTGTCCTTTAATATTTTTATATTTTAATGGTTGTTCCTATGGGATCCTTTAGGGATTATGGCTGGCTCTACAGGCAAAAGGGGAAATGCAAATCCTAGGTGTTTATCAGAGCTAATCTTGTCAGTTCTGGCTTGCCTAATTGTATTGTTTATTTGGAATCTCTCTGCTTATGAATAGATTGGCCCAATCTTTCTGAATGGGTACAGAATCTCCATTCTAAAAGACCAGCCTTTTCAAGCTCGAGGCTGTTTGCCTATGGCAGGAAGACTGGGGCTGTGTTTCTGCCTTTGTTAAGATTTCTCTCCATTTCTCCTTTGGGGAAAATATTTTATCCTGCATCTTTTTAATATTAAGAATAAATACTATTTTAATCGGGGAAGGGAGGAGACATTCCTACAGGTGGTACAATAGTGGATGATATGTTAAAAAAATTACCAAGATAGGAAATCTGTAGTGCCAAAACGCGAAACTAGGTCTTTACAAAATTCTATGAAAATCTATGCCATGAATATGTCATTAAATGTAATTATTCTAGGAGAAAAAGACAGCTCATCATATACAATGTCATATTTATAACTATAGATAAAACTGAAACTTAAAATTTTGTAACACTCCAAAAAATAACTAATCAATAATTTAAAGCCATGTTGAAGATAGAAAAATACATACATAAAAATTAGAAGAATAACTCTTTCATCTTTTTAGTTAATTGGTATATAGTATTACTGATGTGAGAAGTCTAATTTCTAAAAAAAAAAACTCCATAGTGATCTACATATTGAACTAGGGCTGAGGAGACCAGCTTCACGTTACTCTCAAACATGGAAGCTCACTTGGACTAGTTGCTGTCTCAGTGCAAATTTCACAAAGCAGTTGTTGGGAACAAATAGTGTTATGCTGGAGGAAAAGGGCAATGTAATGGTAACAAACAAACATTTTAAAAATTACTAGTGTTTAATTCAGAGCACTCAGTCCTACAATAGAACTACTACATTATGGCACGTACCATATGAATTCGGTAGAGATCTTAGTTTTTTTAAATCTGTCTTTTCATTTATTATTTATCAATTTGTTTATTAGATTTGATATCCCACCTTTCATTCAAGAGTCAAGGTTCCAAATATAATTGAATAATGTGAAATGGCGTAATCTACAGAATGGGAATTTGTAGACTTTTCCCATTGAATCCTCTTCTAAGCATGCAGTTCTATAGAACAAACATTTCACACATTTAGTTAAATTTGAAATGTTGATTTTGAACACATACGTAAGTATTTTTAAAAGCAGCACAATCTTTGTGTGTGTGTGATATGAAGATAATGTTGATTGTTCAAAATATTGGTGCTGTTATTTTTTATTTATTTGCAATGTATATATCAAGACAAGTTTGCAAAATTCATGAATAAAATTGTACGAGGCAGTATTTTTAGCAATAGAAATTCCTCCTGCTGAGTGATTTTGTGTGGGAAAAGTGCAGTCCATCTGGAATACAAGGGGACTCCTGGGATTATCCTTGCTAGCTTTCCTCTGTTTCCTGGAACCTTTCCATAGAATCATTAATCCTTGATTGAAGATAGAAAGAAGTTGGACTGACATTCTTTTTTTGTAGTTTTCTTCACTCTCTGAAGTTCTTTTGACAGGGCAGTTGGAAGTGATCACATAAATGACTGCTGTGAGTGAGCATCAGTAGGCATTATTATACCCTTAAATATGGAGTAAAATTCCTTCCTCCTGTGTATTTGTACTGTATTTTTAATCATGCAGGGAAGAAGAGGAAAATCAAGAGAAAACAAACATAGTGCATAACAGAAAAATACATGCTGAGAAAAACCTCAAGGGGAAAATATGTATTTCTCCATTGCATGTATATGAGTGGGTAAATCAGCTTTGTTGAAATTAATGGTGGTGGAGGCTTGCTCATCTAATAATGAACCATGAGGATTTTGGTATTGGTCCTGCTCCTTCTTACAACTGTTTCTGGCAATACAGATTTCTTCTCTTCCAGCATCTCTGATATGAAAAATATTATGGTTATAATAAATAAGAAACAGGACACAGCACATGAATTTGGCTGAAAAAAGGCAAGGGAGCATAGCACAACAGGATCAAAAAAGCAGGATTAGAATTTGTTTTCAAAATTATTCTCCTTTATGTGTAAACTGCTCAAAATAAATATAAAAAACTGCATGCAAAAAACTAAATGATGCTATCAGTTTGAAATCTGGTTTAATATTGATTATTGAGAAAGATGAAATTTCTAAATTTTAAAATATCTTTTTTGTACTTTGAGGATGAAAAATTGAACTACTTACCTCTTATTTGCTGAGATGAGACAAAAAGCATCGGACCTCATGATACAGGTAGTCCTTGACTTATGACCACAATTGAGCCCAACATTTATGTTGCTATGTGATAATTTTGTTAAGTGAGTTTTGCTCCAATTTACGACTTTTCTTGTCACATTTGTTAACTGAATCACTGCAGTTATTAAATTAGTAACACGGTTGTCAAGTGAGTCTGGTTTTCCCATTGACTTTGCTTGTCAGAGGGTCACAAACAGTGATCACATGACCCCAGGACATTGCAACCATCATAAATCAGTTGTCAAGCATCCACATGTAAATCACTTGACCATGGAGATACTTTGAAAAATGGTCATGGTCAATTAGTTAAAGATTGCATGATAAAGAGGGCTCAAAATATTGAAGAACTAATAATGTTGGATACGTGGGAAATAATTTGGGTAAGGAATGTGAAATTCACACAAGCCCAAAACCTGAGAG